TATATAAAAACGTATGTCTGTCTGTCTGTTTGTCTGTCTGTCTGTATGTCCGGGGTACCCTATAGACTCGAAAACGGCCGAACCGATCGTCGTGAAAATTTGTGAGCGTGTTCTGTGGGATCCAGCGGTGGTTATAGGGGGGTCAGTTCTCCGATGCGATGAGTCCTTCTACCTTAAAAAAATTATTTGAGTGCTCCACCCACGAAAATACGAAAACTCGGAAAAAAATTGAAAAATCGGAAATTCCCAAAATTCACTAACGCCTGAACCGATCGCCGCAAAAATTCAGGGGTGGGTTCCCGGGAGCTTCAGGAAGGTCATCTGAGGGTCGTCGTTCTCATGTTATGGGTCCTCCCCCCATAAAAAAATGATTTGAGTGGTCCTCTCACCGAGAATCAAAGATTTCATCAAGGGAAAGACGGGAATTCGATTTTCCGGAGGACATATCTAATAAAAGCGGGGGCACGGGGAGGCGGGGAAACGGGGAAGTGGGGAACAGGGAGAGCGGGGAACCGGGAACCGGGAAAGCGGGGAACCGGGAAAGCGGGGAACCGGGAAAGCGGGGAACCGGGAAAGCGGGGAACCGGGAAAGTGGGGAACCGGGAAAGCGGGGAACCGGGAAAGTGGGGAACCGGGAAAGCAGGGAAACGGGAAAGCAGGGAAACGGGACGCTCACCAAGAGCACGCGCGACCAAAGCAAGCGCACCCGAAGCCAGCGCACTCGGAGCCAGCGCACTTGGAGCCAGCGCACTTGGAGCCAGCGCACTCGGAGCCAGCGCACTCGGAGCTAGCGCATGTGTAGTGAGTCTAGCGATACCGAGTCGCCGCGAAGCGGCGACCGGGAGCGCTGGTTGTCAATATAGTTGCGGATGTGGTGCGGGAAGTGGTTGTGGAGATTGATCAGGTTCGGGAGCGCGGTATGCCGCGCACAGTACCCTCCTCAATGTTTCTGATGCCGCAACCTAATTCAGACCTAGGTTCGACACAGAAATCAGTAGCAGCTCTGCATTGAGCGAGACTCTGGTGGTCAGGAAGCCATCGAGGGTTGCATGTTTTTCCGTCTTGGAAAAGACTTTCTTCAATGGAGACACACCGGATCCAGAGTCCGGTCCGCTGTCGTCGCTTTCGGAATCCGAATCTGCTCCCGATTCTTGTGATGATGGTGGTCTTCGTTTGTGAGTGCCGTGCTGGCTCAACAGATGACTTGTCAGAGTTCTCGTAGTTCTGTTGCTCCTCATGATTTGAGGTAGAGATTGAATTGGAGCTTACAATCCACGGAGCGAAAGCTCAACTACTATAGCCCTTGGAAATAATTTCTGCCCCAAGGCGAATTTCAACGAGACTCGCCTTCCCACATGAGATGCACTGCGCTCCGGACGAATTATTCAATAAATGCCTTCATACGCAGCTCCTAGCTCTAGTCCAGCGGTGGCCAACTCGGGGATGGAGGTGGACCCCAGAACCGCCTTCGTAGGGGCTAGTGGACCCCCTATTTCATATATTGCACCGATACATTCGCTTCATGCGTGAAGTTCTTCGAATGAAAAGTAGAGCGAGAGAGAGCCAATCAGAAGTGTTGAGGCTGAATAAGACGGGAATTGTGACTCCTCAGACTAACAGCTAGATATGATACAGAGCGTGGGGGCGCTTCCAGCATGAGACACGACGGGGTTGCACCCCGGTTCCGTCATGAGATGCTATCTTCGGGGCTTGCACTCCTGGAGTCGAACAATTTGTTAGTTGCCCAGTGACTAGGTCTACAAAGTCGACTAAAATAGACTCTTTTCATTGTGTTCGCACCACAATTTGGTGTCAGAAGGAAAACTTTATGAGCGAATCCGCGGAGACGCTTCCGGTGTGAACGATAGCGATGGCACTCCTGCTGAAGGAGGGCGTGGACAGAGTCCATTGCGGATCGCTCCAGGACCAGAGGAAGAATATCAGAATGCAGGTCACCAGGAGGAAAGCTCCAGTGGAAGCTATGTTCGAGAATCCCGAGTCGGCGAACGTGATCAAATTAGACACGGAAGAAAACCTCATAAGACAGCTTAGGCTCAAGCTTGAAAAGCTCAATGAGCAGATCTCAGCGATGCTGGCCACCCCAGGGAACAAGGAGGAACAAGCCAAACACGATGCCTTCATGGATGGCGCGATGGAGTTCGAAGAAACGATTTTCGAGATGCTTGCGAAGATCGAATTCCTCAGACGTGGCTCGGGTGAGGACGCTGCCGCGCCAAGCACCAGCGCGGCTCAAAATAAGCCGCCTCCTGCGGATCAAGACAAATCCGCCATTACGATAATCAAGGATGTCATCGTGAAGCAGCAGGATAAGATCCCAAAGTTTGCAGGCGATGCCACGAAATTCAAGAATGGTTCGAGATATTCGAGTCAGCGACCACCACGTGTACATCACCATTGGGGAAATTCAAAAGACTGAAATCATCGTTAGTCGGCAGTGCCCTGAAGCAGATTTCGCACCTCCACCCCAAGGAGGAACTCTATAAAACGGCAATCGATATAATCAAGGATGAACACGGGAGCGTATTCTCGGCTCAGTACGCCTACGCTTCGGAGTTTATCAACAACTGCAACTCTGGGACATCAAAAAACCCAAATAAGTGGCACGCGTTGATTCCGGTGATCGTACAAAATATTAGAGCTCTCAAGACCCTCATAGAGTGCTTCGATGACGCGGCGGTCATGATATTGCCGATCATTCTCGACAACCTTCCAACCTCGATTAGGGACGCCTTTCTCAGAGTCCACGAAGTATCGAAGTCAGACGAGGCAAACAAAAAGTTTGACGCGCTGGTGAAGTTCTTGGGGAAAGAGAATAAGATTGAAGCGACTCCGACAGCCAGCAAAGCCAACCCCAACACGGATTGAGGGAAATTTCCAAACGGCGGTGAGGGGCGAACTCAATGCATTCAATCCCGTGAAGCCCAGAGATAACCATCCTTATTACGGTAATCAGGAATCACAGGGCAATCATGCATGTCTATTCTGTGGCAACAAAAACCGCACATCACTAAAATGTAGAAAGGTTCTCTCAAGCTCAGAGCGAGCGGAAAACCGACGCATTCGCGAAATGCTTGAGGAGAAACCACGTGGCTTCGAAATGTTGCTTGAGGACGACGTGCAAATTTTGCAGAGGATGTCACAACTCGTTATTGTGCGAAAAATCTCCAGATGCCAAAGTGACATCTACCCTCATGGGTGCATCGAATAATGCGGAATGTAACGAATCGAACCACGAGTCTTTAGGACAGTGGTTCCCGAACTTTTTTTCGCGCGGAACCTTTATCGCCCCTCGAATAGGCCGCGGAACCCCTCGCGGAACCCCTAACGGAAAATATACGAATTCCTCTGACTTGTCGCTCGAATGAGGCCCTATCTATCGGAAAATACCTCCAATCACGAGTAATTCTGAAGCTCCGACATTTTATGAGCGGCTGTATGATATGGACACCTTTCGAACTTATTCCACTTAATGAAGGCTCCTTTCAATGCGACGGATGAATCTGGCATCCGGACAAAATCTCAGCGAAGTTTGGAGTGTTTCCCGACAACTGTAGCCTCATGTCTGGTTCGGCATCTAAGCGGTTCCGGTACTTGTTCTTCGTCGCAATGTAGACCGAAAATCCCCGCTCGCAGGGATACGTGCTCGCAAAGTGCTCAACCAGCTCGAAGATCGCCTCCCCAGTCGCATTGCTCAGCAAGGGCTTGCAGATTAAAAGCTCTTCGTGGACCCTGGACTCGGAAACGTAGCGCACGAGCACCAACAGAATAGCCGAACCGCTGACATCTGTCGATTCGTCCAGCTGCAGAGCCCAGGAGGGACTGAGTTTGATTTCACTGCAGACTTTTTCCTCCAGCCATGAGCTTATGTCCCTGATCCGGCGATTGACCGTGTTATCGGAGAGAGGAATGATCTGAAAATTGTCCACTTGTCTTTGATTGAAGAGATTCCGGGCTGCTTCGATTAGGCAGGGCTTCACCAATTTCTCTCCTATGGTGTGAGCTTCTGCAGCCCGACCGATTCGATAAGAAAGCCGCAGGGAGACTTCGTGAAACTTGTCGACCGCGTATGGTAGTGTCGTTTGGCTGGAAGAAAGATTCTTCGCCATAAGTTGAAAATACGAAACAGGGCGCTCGACCAGCCCTGAGTGATTCGTCGTCAAATATTGGGGATTTGATCAGGACCCCACAACATTGGCCGTCTAGTTCTGTCTCAGTCGGAGGTGAACGCAGATGATTCCTGATGAGCGGCACTTGTCGGAGGATACCGGAGGCGGGTAGTGAGGAACTCTACCCATGAATGAGGACGCAGGGTTTCGTGCGGTGACAAAAGAATCTGTGTCCGATGTTTATTTCAGTGTGGTTTATATACTAGCACAGCTCCATAGACTTGTCCAGGGAAGACTGGTTCCATTAAATATAATGGGCACATATGTAGATCAGACCATGTTTTGACAGTAAACATAAACATTCAGGATATTGGAAATTAACTTGGTGTAATTATCGTAAACACTGACTTCGAGAAAATTCTAGACAGTAATTTATGGAAAGGCAATCATCTATTGATGGTAATTTTCCAACATTTTCTCCCTTACTGCGGAATATTCGAAGAAGTATTCAGACTCTGATTATAGTACCTTGGACATACATAAGCTCCAGGTTTTTTTTTTCTCGGTGGGCACTCATTTTTTCCGCGAGGGAGCAACATGGCCCAACGATCTCCTTCTCCGTCTGGCAGCAGTTATACCTGGGATCTTCCACTTAGGCATGATGCTGTTGAAGCGTTTGCTGCTGGTGCCGAAGCTGGTGATGATGCCCGTCCGATAGTGATCGAGGATGATACTGTTCAGCTGCCTGCTCAGTGCTCCGGCCTTTCGTCCTCGGAAGCGGAGATCCAGGAACGGGTTCATACAATTTGCCTTGTTTGTCAGCGTAGAGATCGGCTTCGTTTTCAGCAAGCTATTGATGTTGCTGGACTGTTCTGTCCAGACATGAATGCTGAATGCTGAGGCTCGTCGTCCGTATGGTGAGCAGGCTCTTCGAGAGCGCTCACCTCCCAGGTCTTGTAACCGTTTCGAGAGTCTTGCTCATATAGAGCCAAATGGACAGATACACTTAGAAACGAATTTCGTTTGGAATAAGAGACTCAGACATTGCGATTAGGGATTGAGAAATCCGTGCTTAATTCTCGCTGGAAGAAGAGCTGTTCTTGTCTGGTTCAGAAATCTAAAAATCTAAACAGTATCTCTGGGTTTAAAGAAAAAAAGGGGGTATCGGTGCGCTACAGAATATTCATGTAGCTTGCTCCGTTTCGTGATGGGGAGATGCCGAGAGGAATGAAGTTCCATCTCCTGGCTGAGCTTTGTAGCTCTACGCGATTCTGTGTCGACGAAAATATCTCCTTCGTGAATTCTAGTTGGAACAGTCATTGCTGGTACCTGAACCTATTCCTTCGGAAACAATGCATTTTAAGCAATTTATATGTATAGGTATTTCAAGCATTTCGCTGTTTCATGGTCGTGTGTATGACGGATGGAAAGTCGAGTTTTTCAGCGCGCCAGGCACAAATTGAGTTAGACTCATCTGAATGCCTGCACACAGCTTGATCAGGGGCGCCGTGGATTGAATCCATGCTGCCTTCAAGTAAACGATTTCCGTGCATCATCCATCCGATCTTATTTGACCTCTCAAGCCGTCTTCGTGAGCAACTTTTTGAGAGAAAGACGGCTCGCGGCGGTGGAGTCTGGCTGTATGGTTTAGCTCTGAAACGATTTGCATGACACAATGCAACTTGTTTTATCTGCTTGTAGGCCGCCAAGCTGAATGACTTCAGTCATTTCACTTGCGACTTTGACTCTCAGGAGTTTCCAGGGAATTTGATCTGTGAAGTGATGATTGAATATCACGAAACATTTTTCAACATCGCATTCTCCCCACTCCATACATGTGGTACACTTGAGTCCGGAATACAATAGTTTCGCATGTCTCAGGTGGATCAAGTCCTGTATCCTGAGAACATCCTCCGACTGATTTGACGCTGTGCGTCACAAAAGAAGTCCAGACCCATTAATATCTGCGGTCTGGTGTTCTCGAATCCATCAATATCGTGGGTCTTTGGAGTCAATCGACTTCAATGAGATTTGTATATATTTCTGATTAGACTGATTTCTCACTTCTTGATGCATAAAATGGTTGCTCTCGAAAAAGAATAAAACTGATAGATTCTGTCGATTGGGGCGGAGTTCGCGATTTGGGTTCTTGACCATGCAACTCAGAGCAATATTTTTGTGTGTTCCTCTAATTCTGCCTCGCGGATTGTGTCGACGCTACTTGGGAATTTCCCGGTATCGAGTGCTCTCTACTCGATGCAGAATGAGGATGTGCTGGGGCTGGAATACATGATGACACCTTGTCATCGTCAGCCTCTCAGGCACGGAAAAGTCCTTATGAACTCTTTGTATTCAGCGAGACGAAAAATTAGTCATCGCTTCTTTTGTTTACTTCTTTTCTCTGCGGTTTCTTTCTTGGGCTTTCTTCGCAATTACGAATACAAAAGGGTCTGGGCAAAACCTATGCAAATTCTGCCCTCCGAAGCCGATCCGATCGAGTGGGGTCTCATTTTGAAGGTAATTTCGAGAGGAACATTTTCCGCATGGTCCCGGATCCGATCGCACCTCGTGGTCCCCGCAAACGCCCGAAGAAGTTTTTTCTTCAACCCCTTCTATCTCGAGAACGGCTATAGCTACAGAGTCGTGCGATAGCGCGATCGAAAGCTCTCGACGAGAGCTTCCGTTTGAGACCCCTCTCGACCAAATCGTCCTCCTCTAAGGCTTCGAAAATCGGGAACCCAGTTTTCTAATACTCCGTTCTAGTACTTCTACACGAGACGCACCTTTGATACTATGACAGATAGAAGTCCCAAGTGTCCCCCGACCATTAGCCATCAAACCGGGGAAATCGAAGGGGTGCATCTTGCCTTAACAAAATTATCTTTTCCCCGGCTAAAATCCGTATTTTTGCGGAATTTTCCCGATTCGCCTCTTTTTTGCCCGATTACTCCGAGATGAGCGCCGGGAGCCCGTTTCCGAGCTCGGAATCAGAAAGCTGACGCCGAGAGCTTTCGATTGCACCCCCTGGTTGTCCGAGGAGAAAACGGCCATCCTCAAAGTTTTCACCCAATCCCATTGAGGAGGCACACGGATAACGCAATTGAGGGTGACACTCATTAGGGCTCACCGGGTATGGGGAGATAAATACGAACTGTAGTCCTTCATAGTTAACTATAGTTCCTCTCTGCAAACCTTTCACAATATGTACAACGAACGGGCTCATCGTTGATTTCGCGGGACCGTACAAAGGAACTGACAACGACGCTACGATCGTCCTCGACGTTCTGAAGAATGAGGATTTGCTGTCCCTGCTGACTGAGGGCGATGTCCTCGTCGTCGACCGCGGATTCCGAGATGCTGTCACGAATATGGAGGAAATGGGTTTCCGAGTGGTTATGCCGGCAATGAAGGGTAAGAGGAAGCAACTACCCTGCGACGAAGCCAACAAATCCCGTCTGTTTACGAAGGTGCGGTGGATCGTCGAAGCAGTCCATGGACGGGTCGCGCAGAGGTACAAGCTCCTGCACCATAGCCTTGATAACAAGCTCCTAACCAAGGTTAAATCTCTGTGCGGAATCATCGGATATCTGGAGAATGCTTACGGACCCCGATCGTGGGGAGAGGGCGAACTGAGCGAGGTCGTCATTGACCACATGGAACATCGTATGAACCTGCCGAACACTCTCGGGTCGCGGGTTGAGAACGAAGGATGGAATCGACGTCGGACCCTCCTTCAGAGGATTTCCGCCCAGGACCTGACCGACTTCCCGAAGCTGACTGAAAGTCAGCTTCTCCTGTTTGTTTCTGGACCATACCAAATCAACCTCGCACGGTCCTACCTGGCGGAAATGATGGACGGCGACGGTAACATCGAGATGAAATTCGTCAGGCAGGCGCCGAACGTCGTTCAGCTCCAAGTAAGGTCCCGCCACGTAAATCGCAAAACCTACAGGATTACATCCTTTACCATCCAAGCGAGAACAGTATCGACGGAATCGCGGAGTATTGGTGCGAATGTCCAAATGGCAACAGGACGGTGGGCTGTTGTTCGCACGTTGCTGCTGCGGTTTTCTACCTCTCGTATGCGAGATATCTCGACACCATTCCTCGTCCGGCAGCGAACCTGGAAAATCTATTTTTGCCGTCTGGAGGCGAAACGGAGTCAGAGGCGGGTGGAGCTAATGACTGAATAAAGTCGTAATCTTCATGAAGGACTATAGTTCGTATTTATCTCCCCATACCCGGTGAGCCCTAATGAGTGTCACCCTCAATTGCGTTATCCGTGTGCCTCCTCAATGGAATTGGGTGAAAACTTTGAGGATGGCCGTTTTCTCCTGTCCCTGAGGCCGAATCGGACAACCAGGGGGTGCAATCGAAAGCTCTCGGCGTCAGCTTTCTGATTCCGAGCTCGAAAACGGGCTCCTGGCGCTAGTTTAGGAGTAATCGGGCGAAAAAGGGGCGAATCGGGAAAATTCCGTAAAAATACGGATTTTAGCCGGGGAAAAGATAATTTTTTTAGGCAAGATGCACCCCTTCGATTTTCCCGGTTTGATGGCTAATGGTCGGGGGACACTTGGGACTTCTATCTGACATAGTATCAAAGGTGCGTCTCGTGTAGAAGTATTAGAACGGAGTATTAGAAAACTGAGTTCCCGATTTTCAAAGCCTTAGAGGGGGACGATTCGGTCGAGAGGGGTCTCAAACGAAAGCTCTCGTCGAGAGCTTTCGATCGCGCTATCGCACGACTCTGTAGCTATAGCCGTTCTCGAGATAGAAGGGGTTGAAGAAAAAACTTCTTCGGGCGTTTACGGGGACCACGAGGTGCGATCGAATCCGGGACCATGCGGAAGATGTTCCTCTCGGAATTACCTTCAAAATGAGACCCCACTCGATCAGATCGGCTTCGGAGGGCAGATTTCGCCCAGACCCTTTGAGTGTATTGTGAATCCCCTATGGCCTGATATCCTTTCACCAGGCGACGTTTGGTTATAACGGCACTG